ATTTTTTTTTCTTTTTTTTTTTTTTTCAAGACAGAATCTCGCTCTCTTGCCCTGGGTAGAGTGTGGTGGCGTCATCACAGCTGACTACAACCTCAAACCCCTGGGTTCAAGCAATCATCCTGCCTCAGCCTCCTGAGTAGCTGGGACTACGGGCATGCACCACCATGTCTGGCTAATTTTTTCTATTTTTTTGGTAGAGACTGGGGTCTTACTCTTCCTCAGGCTGGACTTGAACTCCTGACTTCAAGCAATCCTCCTGCCTTGGCCTCCCAGAGTGCTAGGATTACAGGCATGAGCCACCGGACCGGGCCACCTTTAAAAAATTTTTAATTTAACTTACTTTGAATTACTTTTTAATAATCTTCTTTCATCTGCATAATATAGATAATAATACCTCATCACAGTGTTGATATTAAGCAAAATAATGTATAATAAGGCCCTTACCCCTACCATACTAAACAGCATCATTATTATGAAATAGGCTCTCCAAGCAGGGTACCAAAAGCAGAAACTGTAACCAAAAGACTGACAAGACTGATCATACAAAAATCAAGAACTGTGTAAATCAAGTACCAGAGAAATCCTCCTTCACACCTGAGACAAGCTAAGTAACTCACATGATTTAGCAAACACATATCAACGTAACAACTATTATCAAGTAGACAAAAATCACTCCATCCTAAAAAAAACAACTAAGAGTCACAGTTAAATGAACATACATCTTAGTTCACTTCAAGGATGCCAAGATACATACTTCAGTTAGAAAGCTAGCCTGAGATGAAAAGGTGTAAACGTATAGCAAGTCTACCTTAACATGCTAGCCCACTACTTCATGGTATTGGAATCTCATTATTATAATGACTGCTTAGTGCATTGCACTGAAACCTGATAAACACAGGAGAACATCTGCACGCCACGCTGGGACTCCTAACTGCAGTATATTAAGCTCTGGAGCCATAAGAAACTAATTTCTTTACTAAGTAGCTTGTTTGATTCCAGTAGTGACAGGAATCTAGCATTGCTAGAACAGGTAAATGTATGAACTGGTTGAACTTAAAGATTTTGTTCCACGCTAAAGTTCTATGATTGCATATCATGAACTCAGAACTTGACTTCGTGACACGTCAAAAGTCCAAAACACCATGGTCCACCAACATATCAGGATCTGGGAACTGGCCATGGTAACTTAAATTCCGATTTACTGTGATCCCGCAAATATCTCACAATCCCAGTGCTTGTAAGGACTCACCACGACTCTAAGAAACGACACACTTTGGCAACTGTTCCACACAATGTCCCTCCTTTCCCCTCATAGAGGCAAAGTGGGGAGCACCTTCCACACACTCCAGTCCCTCAACACACAGAGAAAAGAACTCGACAGATACTCGACCTCACCTCAATCTCGTAATCCTTCACGGGCGGGGGAGCAGCTGCAGCCGCCATGGCTAGGACCCCCACCATGCTCCCAGCTTCCCGGAATCCCGGCTCCTAGGACCTTACGCGATCCGGGCCGGCCTTCTTGAAGGCCATGGAGGCGGCCCGCTCCAGTAGGAGCGAGTTGCTGGGCTGCCGAGTCCGTCTCGGCTTCCCCGCGCTCACCGGCACGGAGCCGGCGCAGAGGCTGGGCCCAGCTCAGCTGAGCCGAACGCGGAAAGAGGTGGTGAGAAGGCGCGGGCAGCGAGGCCCCTGGGGCGCGGCCGGTGTGTGCAGGCTGCCGCCGAGGCGGGCACTCCAGGATGACAGCTGGAGACTGGGGCCCAGGTGGGGACAGCAAGCGGAACGCAGATCGGACCGCAGAGCTTCGGAGGGAGTTCTTGTCAATTGGGTTTTCGCGCCGTCCAGAACGCAGGGGGCGGAGTTTACGGCTGCTTCTGGAGGCTGCGCGGACGGTGAGCCGAGAGGGCCAAAACTCTTCCCTTGGCGAAAGTATGGGAAGCGGTGGAATACATTATAAAAGCAGTCGAGAATTTGGAGATTCGAACTTCTGTCCAGTTTCACCGTTGCGGATGCAATTTGACTACGTCACCTACTCAGTTGATAGCAGAGTTGCAATTTAGACTCTTGACGACCTAGGCTAGCCCCTTTTTAAAAGTGGATATTTTAAAAACACAGAAAAGGAAATAACAATTGATCACATTGCTACCACCTAGAATAAGAGGTTAATGTTTTGGCGAGCGTCCTGTTTCGAGATACTCCCTTCGGGGTCCGAAATTTCGACTTTCATATCCTTTTAACTGCACAGTGTGAGAGTCATGTTATGCAAACTGATTTTAAAGATTGACATAATTGTGCCCATCTTTATAGTATTTGTTGTCGTAACATAGGGGATACAAATTTATCCAATGAAATTAGTGGTGAATACTTTTCCTTTCAAACTTAGCCCTAGATAAGGTTTTTGAGGAAGGGAAGAATGCACTACTTTCAGTCTTATACTAAGTATACACTGTTTTGCTGTTTTGGTTTGGTTTTTTTTATAACTCATGTACTGTAAGAACGTTGTCCAAGGGGGAGAAGGTGAGAAGGAAGATGAGAGATGAAAAAATTACAAAGAAAACTAAAAGTCTCGAGACTTCCAGCCCAAACTCAGGCTCTTCCTCTTATTCCCAGCGGCAGCCACTATTATCTATTTGGTAGGTAGCATTGCAGCCTTTTAAAATACTTTTACATACACATATGTATCCATAGAAAAATCTTTAGTTTTGTTTTTATTTACATAAATAGTAGTACTATAAATAGCACTCAGCAAAAAATTTTGCTTTTTTCACTCAACATTGTTTTCAAGACCCATCCATAATACATGTAGATTGCATTCATTCCCTTTCTTTCCTGAGCATTCTATCCAATAATGCATTACATTTTATCTATCTATTTCCTTTTTAATGAACATTTACGTTGTCTCCTATTTTCTGTTACTTGAACAATGAGTCAATGAACAGTTGTGCTCTTGTCTTCTTGAACACATGTAATGTTTCCCTAGGGTACACATCTAGAAGTAGAATTGCTGGCTTATAGGGTATGTCTCCAGTGTTGTTTATTCTTCTGAATTACAAAGTATTTAGACTACATTGATTTGTTAAGGATTTGCACTGAGTTTATTTTTAGATTTGTAGTTAGTATTTTACTGACTCTTATTTAGGAGCTCTTGGTATTTATCTCTTTTATTTTAAATTTTTTAGAGACAGGGTCTCACTCTGTTGCCCAGACTGGTGTGCAGTGGCATGATCATAGCTCACTGCAGCCTCAAACTCCTGGGCTCGAGCAATCCTCCTACCTCAGCCTCCCAAGTAGCTGGGACTACAGGCACATGCCATCACGTCCAGCTAATTTTTCTATTTTTTGTAAAGACAAGGTCTCGCTATGTTGCTCAGGCTGGTCTAAAACTCTTGGCCTCAAGCTATCCTCCTGCCTCAGCTTCCCAGAGTGCTAGCATTATAGGCATGAGATACCTCACCAGGCCCATTCATCAACTTTAAATTAAATGAACTCTCACATTTGTAAAGCAATTGACAATTTACAGTATGCCCATGTCATTTTAGATTATCTTTCCTATCTGGCTAACCCATACTTTTAAAAATTGTTAATATTAACTTTTATATTTATCAGAGTAATGCCTGTACTTGGTTTAAAGTATCAAAGAACATTATAAAACTTATTATCAAAAAACAGTTGATTTCTGTTTCATACCCCAGGTCTATATCCCAGTGGCAGCTACTTTCAAAACTCTTCTAGCATTATAAATATGTCCTTATTTTTAAGTACTATAATATGTACTAGGTGCAGTGGCTCATGCCCGGAATCCCAGCACTTTGGGAGGTCGAGGTGAGAGGATCTCTTGAAGTCAGAAGTTTGAGACCAGCCTGGGCAACATAGCAAGACCCCATCTCTAAAAAAAACAAAACAATTAGCTAGGCATGGTGGTACTCAGGTGGGAAGCTGAGGTGGGAAAATCCCCTGAGCCCAGGAGTTGGAGGCTGCAGTGAGCTGTGATCGAACCACTGTACTCCAGCCTGAACAACAGAGCCAGACCCTGTCTCTAAAAAACCCCACCCCAAAAAACTGTACTAATAATATGCTTGTACAGATATTCTTTGATTTAACAAATTAAAAAGATATTCATTAATGCCCTGTTATGCTGGTTTTAGAATTTAATTCTCTTATGACACCACCCTCTCCACTTCCTCTCCTCCCACCTTATCAACAGGTAAATAAATAAGCAGATTTTATAATAGTATACCCATACAATGGAATACTACTCAGCAATAAAAAGGAATGAACTATAATATTAATATATGCAACAACATGGATGAACCAAAAAATCCTTATGCTGGGTGAAAGGAGCCAGATGAAAAAAGAATACATACTACATGATTCTATTTATGTCAAATTCTACAAAATGGGCTGTGTGCAGTGGCTCACGCCTATCATCCTAGCACTCTGGGAGGCCACGGTGGAAGGATCGCTTGAGGTCAGGAGTTCAAGACCAGCCTGAGCAAGAGCGAGACCCTATCTCTACAAAAAATAGAAAAAATTAGCCAGGCGTGGTGATGCACACTTGTAGTCCCAGCTACGCGGCGGCTGAAGCAGGAGGATCCCTTGAGCCCAGGAGTTTGAGGTTTCAGTGAGCTGTGATGATGCCACAGCACTCTACCCAGAGCAATAGAGCAAGGCTCTGTATCAAAAAAAAAAAAAAAAAGATTAAGGGAATGAAAGTGGAGAAGAGGGTTTTTTTTGTTGTGTTTTTTGTTGTTTTTGTTTTGTTTTTGAGACCTGTTACCTCAGACTCCCCCTGCCTCAGGCTCCAGGCACACACCACCATGCCAGGCTAGACGAGGATATTAAGAAGAGTTTCTATGACTTATGAATTGGAGACTGTCAGGTGATAAGACAATTCAATGCAACATGTGATTCTGAATTGGACCCACTGCTATAAGGGACATCGTTGGGACAAATGATTAAACTTGAATAGGGGTCTTAGGATTAGATGGTAATAAAGTATCATTGCTAAATTACTGTTTTTGATGGTTGCACCTTGACTTTGTAGGAAAATGTATCTATAGGATGCTGGCACTTATTCTCAAATGGTTTATTTAGGAAAAAATATTTTTTGCACTGTACTTGAAACTTTTCTGTATGTTAGAGATTTTGAAAATTCGAACTTTCAAAATTAAAAAATACATAGCATTAATAAGAATTTTTAAGAGACAT